ACATGAGGAGTAAGTGCACAGTGACTCCTGTTGTTGACTTAACAAATTGACATTCTTGTTTATGGCATCAGTAATCACCCTAGGCTCTTGTCATGAGCTGCCAAGGCTATGGAAGCCCCCTGAGTTCACCGACTCTGATCATATTTAGACAAGGCCATGATCAAAGTGAAAGTTCTCTCCTCCCTTCAGAGAAAGGTACCTCCTCCTTTGATGGCCTGTTCTTACCACTGGGATCTCACTCACGGAGATCTTTCATTTAGGTTTTTTTTGTTTGTTTGTTTTTGTTTTTTTTTCCCCAGAGTGTCTTGGCTTTCCATGCCTGAAATACTCTCATGGGCTTTTCAGCCAGATCCGCATGCCTTAAGGGCTGATTCTGAGGCCAGAGTGCTGTTTAGGACATCTGCCATTCTATGGGTCTGCTGTGTATCTCACTTCCCATGTTGGATCGTTCTCTCCTTTTTTGTTCTATCAGCTAGTATTTGCAGACACTATTCTTGTTTATGTGATCCCTTTGGTTGTTAGTCCTATCATTATGATCAATTGTGAACAGGAATTGATCACTGGGACTAGTGAGATGGAATTGGTACATGCCACCTTGATGGGATTGAATTGGAATCCCCTGGTATGTTTCTAACTCTACCATTTGAGGTATGTCAGCTTGAGCATGTCCCAAATTGCACACCTCTTCCCTCTCTTATTCCCACTCTTATATTTAACAGCGATCACTTTTCAGTTAAGTTTCAGCACTTAAGAAGAATTGTGTATTGATTACAGTATTCAACCAAAAGTATTAAGTAGAACAAACAAAAAAAAATACTAAGAGGGATAACATATTAAGTTGTTCATCAACAGTCGGGGCGAGGGCTGATCAAGTCACCATTTCTCACAGTGTTCATTTCACTTTAACAGGTTTCCTTTTTGGTGCTCAGTTAGTTGTCACCTTACTGAGATCCATCCTCAATTGACTTTATACACATATGATTAACTCTATGTTAAGAGTTCAACAAATAGTATGAAGAAAAAAGAATGCAAAAACAAACAAAACTGTTTCACTACAGTCAAGACAAGGGCAACTCAAGTCATCCCTTCTGGAAGTGTCAATTTTGCTTCTGCAGATTTCGTTTTTGGTGCTCTAATAGTTCTCATAGATCAAGAAGAACATATGGTATTTGTCCCTTTGGAACTGGCTTATTTCACTAAGTATGATATTTTCCAGATACATCTATTTTGTTGCAAATGACCAGATTTTTTCAGGGATCATTTCTATAGTTCACTACCAGACTTTTTCTAAAATGCAATACAAATGCCAGGGCCCAGACATGGACCATAGCAGGTGGGGCACTGCCTGCACATTCCATGTGAAGGCTGGTTCCAGTCCCAGCTATTCCGCTTCTGATCCAGCTCTCTGCTATGGCCTGGGAAAGCAGTGGAAGATGGCCTAAGTGCTTGGGCCCCTGCACCTGGGTGGGAGACCCAGAAGAAGAAGCTCCTGGCTCCTGGCTTCAGATCGGCACAATTCCGGCAGTGTGGCTATCTGGGGAGTGAACCAGCAGATGAAAGACTTCTCTCTCTCCCTCTCTCTCTCTCCCTCTCTCTCCCTCCCACCTTCCCTCCCTCTCTCTCCCTCCCTCCTTCCCTCCCTCTCTCTCCGTCCCTGCCTTTGCCTCTGCCTCTCTGTGGCTCTGCCTTTCAAATAAATAAATCTTGAAAAAAAAAATCCTATGGCAAGAAAAGATTGGCTCCTGAAGTTATATTTAGCATACTCAATTCAAAACCTTTGATAAAAGATTACAGAAAATATTTGTTTCAAATGTGCATATCACTTTGTTCTGAAAGAAATTGCCTGTCACTTGCAAAATAGTTAAATATCTCTTGTTACACTCAACATATAGCCACAAACACAAATACACATTTGTACATACAAAGATATAAGAGCTATTTTCAAATAAGTCTTTTTATGTTAAAATAAAAAAAATTGATAAGTATTATATATTATTATATATGATGGATGCATGTATTTAATTAACTGTATACTTTCCTTGTTAATGTCGAATTTTAATTATAAATTTCAATTGAGACATTATGCAAAAAGCCTTAGCTGTTTCATCTGGAACTAATATAGTTTCCATGTGTTGACAGGAGCATGGCGCAGTGGGACAGCTTCACTGATCAACAGGAGGACACTGATAGCTGTTCAGAATCTGTGAAGTTTGATGCTCGCTCCAATACAGCTTTGCTTCCCCCAAGTAAGTAGAAGGGGAAAGGGTGCTATGGAGTTGATTGTTCTTAGAGTTATTGACAGTATATAAAATTATAGCCTTAGGCTTGCTTCAATGTATATGGATATTAAAATAATATTTTGGGGCAGGTACTTGTCAGTGATTAGTACATCCTGTGGAACACCCACATCCTACAGCAGAGTGCCTGGGTTTGAGTCCCAGTTCTGCTTGCGATTCCAGATTCCTGATGCTGTGCACTCTGGGAAGCAGCAGGTGATAAATAATTTCTGTTGTTGGGTCTCTGCCACCCGCATGAGTCATCCAGATTGAGTTCCCTGCCCAGTCCCAGCTGTTGAAGGCATATATGGAGTGAACCAGCGGATGGAAGATCTCTCTCACTTCCTTTCTCAATCTCTCTTTACCTTTCAAATGCATAAACATAAATAAAATGTTTATTTGATAAATTGATCTACTACTCCCTTGAGGACAGAGATGGCAACAATCCTTGTATTGGGGCTCACTCTAAAATGAGGCCACTTGAACTTGATTACATATGCAAAGACCTCACTTTCAGAGAAGGTCACCTTACAGCTAGTTGGTATTGGGACTTCAGTACATCTCTGTGGAGCACATGATTCAACCCAAGACAGCACTGATGTAGGTATCTGTACAGATGACAGTTAGGGTTATAAAGCAGCAGTATCAGGCTGTATTTGGACAGGCTCCTTTATGCTGGCAAGACAGAATTGCTTCTAATTTTGCAGCACGTGGGAGGATGAATACACAGCACCAGAGTGATGGCTGGAGAAGAGTCAGAGAGAAAATTCAGTTAGGGGAGGAGGCACTTAGGAAGCTAAGGGGTCATGCACGAGTCCTTCCATAGGCAAACCTGGAAAACAGACCATGGCCCCAGGTCTTGTGTGCTGTGCAAAGGATGAACAAGAGGAAGAGCAGCAGTGTGACAGGGAAAGACAATCATAAAATCTGTTACAGTCAGAGGTGGTGGGGGCCTGGGAGGCACTGGGAGCAGGGAAAAGGCAACAGAAGCTTGAGAGCCATTGAGAGGGTTCCAAGGACTCAGGTTTCAGGCTTAGTCAGACTGGCAGGCAGAATCTGTCACCTAGATTTTGTCATCTTGTTCTCTGTCTTTTTACTTAAATATATTTTTCTTTCTTTACTTTTAAAACAATTTATCTTCATTTTCTTTCAATATTTTGTATAACATTATTGAAGATCTAAAATTTAGAATTTTATAATATGAAAGAAAACTCTACTTGTTTTTCATTACATGATAAAAGCAGTGAGCACAGGAAATAAATTTTTAATTTTAAAAAATTATTTATATTTTGTTTTTACTTGAGAGGGACAGACATCCTGAGGAAGAGAGAGAGAGGGAGAGATCTTCCAATCCCTGATTCACTCTCTAAATTTCTACAACAGCTGAAGCTCAGCCAGGAAAGCCAGAAGCCAGGATCCACATCTTGGTCTCCCATGTTAGTGGCAGGGACCCAAGTACCTGACCCATCACCTGCTGCCTCCCAGGATCTGCATTAGCAGGAAGCTGGAGCTGGAAGCAGAACCAAGACTCAAACGTTATAGGACGCAGAAGTCCGAAGACATGTTCTTAACCATTGTACCAAACACCTGCCCTGGAATATTTTTTGTTGAGAGGCAGAGAGACATAAAGAAAGAAGAGAGAGACAGAGACAGACAGTGAGAGCTCCCATCTGGTGATTCACTGGATAAATGACCCCTACAGCTGGATCTCAGCCCAATGGAAGCCAGGAGCCAGAACTCAATCCAGTTCTCCCACATGAGTGATAGGAACCTAATTACTTATGACATCACTGTTACCTCCAATTTGTGCATTAGTGGGAAGCTGGAATCAGGAGCCAAAGGCAGGTATCAAATCGCATCACTTCAACATGGGACGTGGACAGTCTTAACTGGCATCTTAACAGGCAGCCTAGGACATTTTTAATGGATGTTTTATACACATTGTCAGAGAACGGTCTTGCTCATTTACTAAGTTTCTTCTCTAAATCAATTTACCTCTCCTACAATTAGCATCCTATTATATGAGTCACAATTCTATATGAATGTGTAAAAATAAAAGATTACTGTTATTAATAAATTCTAAAATATCTAGAGAATAGGCTTCATCCATCCATTCCAAAGTTCAGACAACATATAAATCATTGTAGGTCACCAATTTGATTCTTTTACATTGCATTCTGAAGAGGTCTCCAGATATAACACTATTGAGATAGAGTTAAAAATTAATATTGAATTTGTTAAAATTAATTAAAATTAAAAAAATGGAAAAATTACCTAGTAGTCATGGACAATAAATATCCCTGTTTTCTGATTTAAAAATAGGAACCAATCTATAGGTATATTCAGTCATGTGTCCCTTTACAACAGGGAGATCGTCATTAGGCAATTTCACAAAGGTGTGAAAATTATGCCATCTACTTACACAAACCTGGATGGTGGAGCTCAGTCACTATGTGTGATGTGGCTGTAACATGCAAAACACAGTATACTCTTTTACAGTAAATTTAAAAATATGTAGTATAATAAGTATATCCTAAATAATGGTAAAATCGATATGAAACATACAAGAGAGTGGCCTACTCATCTATGATTACCATGTAAGATGCTCTGTATGTAATTGTACACGCTGTACTTTTATACAACTGGCAGTGCAACCCATTTGTTTACACACGTATCACCACCAACGAGGGCAGTGCATCGGGTTGTCTCCCATACTACTAGGTGACGGGGGTTTTTCAGCTCCATTGTAATCTTGCAAGGCCACCACCATATGTGAGGTCTATACTTGACTGAAACATCATTTTGTAGTGCATGACTACAGTTGATTTAGGAACTGATTTTTACCCAGAATATATTCTTGTGAGAAATACACTGAAAAGTGAAATTCATGTTTGCATCTATCAGAATCATAGTAAAATTTACCAACTAATACCCCCAAATGAGACAAATATAACTAGAGGACCCTAGGAATGTTTCTGTGGATGTTTAGCAAAGAGAAAAAATAAATCAGATATCCATAATAATATATGTATTGGCTTTTCTCGTGACTATGCCATTGCTTCCTATTGGATAAATGAAGGCCTGTATGTTTGCTCCCTTTTTTATTCCAATAGACTTGACTGTAAAAATGTAATGCATGATTGCAAACTTTAATCAGTGATGTGTACATTTGACACAACAGATAAGATGCCTGCATCTCCTATCAGAGTTGTTGGGTTCATTGCTCAGCACTACTCAGAACTCCAGCTTCCTGCTAGTGCACACCTTTGGCTGCAGTAGGCTATGTTTCACACACTTGACTCCCTGCCACCCTCGGGAGATCCAGATGGAGTTCTTGGTCTCTGGTTTTAGCCTGGCCTAGTTTCAGCTCTTGTGAGCGTTTGAGGAGTGAAGCAGTGAATCTCTGATCTCTTTTTTTCTCTCTGCTTTTTAAAATATATAAAATAAATAAAAGATATAAAATAAATAAAATAGATAAAATAAAATAATGCCTTTATAAAAACTTAAATAGGCCGGCGCCGCGGCTCACTAGGCTTATCCTCCGCCTGTGGCGCCGGCACCCCGGGTTCTAGTCCCGGTCGGGGCGCCGGATTCTGTCCTGGTTGCTCCTCTTCCAGGCCAGCTCTCTGCTGTGGCCCAGGAAGGCAGTGGAGGATGGCCCAAGTGCTTGGGCCCTGTAGCCACACGGGAGACCAGGAGGAAGCACCTGGCTCCTGGCTTCGGATCGGCGCCGGCGGTACCAGCCACTTAGAGGGTGAACCAATGGAAAAAGGAGGACCTTTCTCTCTATCTCTCTCTCGCTGTCTAACTCTGCCTGTCCAAAAAAAAAAAAAACTTAAATAAGAAAAAGTTTCCTAATGGTAGATTGGGCTTTTTTCTTTATTTTTCTTTCTTTATTTATTTTAGATCCTAAAAATGGCCCTCCACTTCAAGAAAAGCTGAAATCCTTCAAAGCTGCACTGATTGCCCTTTATCTCCTTGTGTTTGCTGTTCTCATTCCTATCATCGCAATAATGGCAGGTACAGTGTTCCAGAGCTGTGGAACTTGGCAGCTCACCTCACAAATTACTTACTGTAAAACCACAAACAAGGTGTTCAGCGTCTTGTGTATTTGATATTGGTAAGAAAAAACTTCATAGCACAGAGTATTTCTGAAATTTAAAAAAAAATCTGCAATGTTAAATGGAAATGCATTTAAAAAAATTAGAATAAAAACCAAATTGAGAAGAGTAAGAGTGAAATGTAGATATGTGAAACTAAGAAGAAAAAGGTAAGATCATTTCAAAAGTGTATTATCCTCTAAAGTCCAATATACTCCTAGTGATGGGCCACAAATTTCATGATAAGCATTCTAGCTGTCAATGTGAAGACAAACATGATCATTTGCATTAACAATGCCTATAATATAAAAAAGTCTTTTGTTCTGAAAATCTACTCCTAGTACTGAGAGCCGAAGGAGATATTCCCGAGAGTCTTCGAAGAGAGAAGACCTTGAAAAATAATGGCCTACATCTCATTAATATTCTTAGAGTTTACACAGCTATATTGGCCTACATCTCATTAATATTCTCACAGTTTACACAGCTACATGTTTCATAGGGCTATTATTGAAAACATCTATAAAGATAACCCAGTAGCTTCCTGTCAAAGAAAAAAAAATATGAGAATATATAATTTGGGCTCAGTGTGATAGTCTGCAGTACACATTTCTTTGGAGAGTTTATTTAACTTGAACTGGGATAGATTTGAGTACTTCCACGAGGATAGGTGTTTTGTATGTACCTCAAGCAAATATGCAAATATTCTTTTCCTAGTATCACTTTTTATGGGTTTGATGAATCCTGATTGGCATTTGAATTTATATGCCTTGTAGCAGTCTCCTTCTCTTTGGCTGGTACAATGTCTGGCCATGTGCTCTAATAGGAGATAGGGTGAGAATAAGACACATTTTTAAGTGCACACTGTTTAACAAGAAAATGCCCCTAAGCACAAGGCCAAACTTCTGGGGCTAGGAGTGCTGTAAGGGGAATATTCCAAAGCAAAGCCAACAGTCCATTCAGAAAGAAATGCTAATGAAAACAGTTGTAATAATAGCTATCATCTTGTGAGTATTTACCTCAGGCACTTGGCAATAAACTTTTCCTAGATTATTTGAAAGAAGTTTTACAGTTGCCCGCTAAGTACATGGAATCATTATCCTTAGTTTTCCCACACACAAAAACTGAGACTTGCTCAGTACTGGAACCGGACTTCTCACTATAAATTTTGAATTCTAATCTCTGTGCTCCACTATCTCCCAGCATAATTGGGATTTTATAACAAAATATGATGAGCTAGTAAAAAAGTAAAACAAAGGTATCATAATTTGGTTCAGAAAAATTTTTTATACAGGGGAAAATTAGCTCCAATTTTGGCTATTAAAAAGAAAGAAACCATTACACTTGGTGAAATAAACCAGCCCCAAGAAGACAGATACCGTATTTTCTCTAATCTGAGGTAACTAATAGAGTAACATATTGAAGTGAAATAGACATTTTGAAATCCCACGATTATTTACAGCCCTTCTCTCTGCTGTTGAGGAACAGTGTTTTGTTTTTTTCTTTCATACTATTTTTTGAACTCTTGCTTAGTGTACAATTAACTATATGATAATTAAGTAAATTGGAAATAGATCTTTGTAAAAAAATAAGAGTGGAAATGTGAAAGGGAGGAGGAGGAAGGGTTGGAGCGTGGGCGGGAGAGAAGGTAGTGTTCCTAAATCTGTATATATGAAGTACATGAAACTTGTACAACTTAAATCACATTTTTTTAAAAAAGGAACCAGAAACCTAACAATAACAAGCAAACCATGCAAACTGTAGCTGTGTAAATAAAAGGATTTGATGTGTTCCGCACTGAGCAATCTCCTGATGGAAGAAGGCTCTCTGTGTTATCTGTGTATATGCTTGTCTATGGTTAGAGATGCAGGACAGATACCTTTCTGTTGGACTTATTAGTCATAAGCCTGTGCAAAATTTGAGAAAATTTCATCACTCGGCAAACCAGGAACTGCAGAGCCAGGCCCAGGGATTGCAGCCTCTAATAAGGCCATGCAGAATGCAGACGGAAGTCTGCAAGGAAGTCAGGATTCTATCCAACTTAAAAATCCCCAACCTTCTAGAAAATACTACCGAGTCAAGACATTTGTTCTAGAGTTGACAGTGAGTGATCTGAAGAAGTCTGTTTCTTAAAACTATACTGCATACCTACTAGGATTAAGGAAAAGCTGAAAGAGTTCCAGTTTTGTTAGTTCACATCAGTACCAGATTCAACAGAATTTGGGATAGAACTCATGTGTTTCTTACGCCTTACTAATAAAGAATTAACAATTCATTAACAACTTTAAGTCATAGATCAGAATATTTTTCAAAAAGGAACCAAAATACCATAGTTATCTACATTTGCCTTTGAAACCTTACAAATGTAGACTATATATATTCCTAAAAGTAGAAGTTTCTCTGTTTTGCCAAGTATGAATTAATAGGTGAAATAAGCAATATTTTCTTTATTTAAATCTGTAAGCAAACTGTAGCCTGTACCATTAACTTAAGTTTGATTCGTTTTCAAATTAAAAATTATGGTTCATATGACCTTTTGTCAAAGCAGGTCTTCCTTTTCCACTTGGTTTTCAGTGGAAATAAAACCAGATGTTTGAGTTATTAGAGCAATATGCCTAGAAAAATAAAGCAGCCAGCTCCAGAAAATTTTTAAATTATACAGTATTAATTCACTACAGTTAATCAATACTGGGCACTGTAGATTTTTAATTCATAGATCTTATATCCAAAATGATAATATCAAAAAACTCTGAAAATTAAGTATCTCTAATAGTTATTATGTGCCAGAAAGTTATCTAGGTACTTTACATAGCACCTGCATTGGAGACCAGGAGAAGCACCTGGCTCCTGGCTTCGGATCAGCGCGATGCGTCGGCCGCAGCGTGCCGGCCGCCACGGCCATTGGAGAGTGAACCAACGGCAAAGGAAGACCTTTCTCTCTGTCTCTCTCTCTCACTGAGCACTCTGCCTGTCCAAAAAAAAAAAAAAATCATTTAATTATTTAAACACCGACCTTTAGTGTTTCATTTATAGCAATAGAAGCACTGACAATTGAGTAACTTGTCCAGCATTACAACTTGAGATCCAATTATTAGCCCAGAATCTAGAATCTTAACTGTTACCTAAAAGCAATAATCATCACTAATGGAAAATTTTTCTGGATCAATTTTAAAATAATGTTGAAAAAATTGTTTGTTTGGTGTTATGATAGTTAATGTTAAATTCTATTCCCAGTTTTTATTTATTTTCAGTTACCCCAACAGTGCTTTATACATAGCAGGTACTTCATCAACAAGCCATAAATTACTACAGCCATGAATGAAGAATCAGTTCAAAACCTATTCCCTTTACCAAGTTTAATAAAAGTGATTCAGTGACGAAATATACCTTGCTAATTTGTTATTAAGGGTAGAAAAAAATACCACACAGTCAATATGGGAGAACTATTGTAGGTAATATCACAATGTTGTCACCCATAATTTATTAATCAAAATAAGTTAGTAGCAAAGGAATGTAACTAGGAAGAATATGATACAACACAGTTTGAAATTGGAGTTTAATTGCATATGTATTGTATTACTTTTTCTCAGTATAATAATAGCAACAATAGCAGCTACCATCAAAAAGCTGCTTTAAGTCAAATGAGTGACTAGAGTGGATTCTGTAGCTACGGTAGTATTTTTCATGTATAAAGCAGTTTATAGAATAGAATTTTCATATTTGCTAATTCGTCTATGGTGGGAATTATTTGCAAGCTTTATTCCATCTGTGCTCAGCACCATGTTGAGGGAGGCATCTTATTGCCTTTATTGAGGACATCTTAGCAAGAAGACAGAAAGTAACCCAGCTGTAAAGTGAACAGTGCAGCTGGATTCTAGAATGAGGCACTTTGGTCATTTATGTGACAGGTACCTGAAGATAGGGATAAATGTTTTCATATGTTGCCTCATTCGTCTCTCTGAAATCCCATTAACATTTTTACTCAAAAAACCAAAAGATTCAAGTGTAACTTATATATAGATATTATAGATATGTTTTAAATCATACAAGGTTATTCTATGTATTGGTTCATGTCATGTATGGGAAATGTCATGTAGTCAGCTTAATATGAAAGTGACTAATACACACACTCACATATATATATATGTATATATATTTAGGGAAGCTATAAATACAAAAGGATTAAGAGAAATACAGATAAGCAATATAGCTTTAATCATCACTGATTCATGCCAAAATGGTGCTTAACACTTTTTATTGCATATAATTTTGTAATATTTTCATTTGCATAATTAGTGTTTACAGCTTTAATTTTTTTAAAGCTATAGAACCTATTGCTCTAGACCATTTCAGAATAGCTTATTTTGAGAGCATATGCCCATTTGAAAATATTTATCACCAGCTCAGTATGTTCTCCAAATGCCATTTAATAGAATTGTCTTCTTCAGGAAATAGATAATCACAAGGTTGCTCATCAAAACACTGAATATATGACTGAAAACAGGCAAACTAAATGTAGGGATTTTATTGTATACATTTAGTATATCTATATGTAGAATACAATATAGTTAATTTAGTTGAATAATGTTATTATGGAAAATATTTATGATTAGCATTAAAGTAGTTGCCAGACTGTATATAAAGGGAAGCGGGATACACAGCAGACTCATAGAATGGCAGATGTCCTAAATAGCACTCTGGCCTCAGAATCAGCCCTTAAGTCATTCGGATCTGGCTGAAGAGCCCGTTAGAGTATTTTAGGCATGTAAAGCCAAGACACTCTGGCCAAAACAAAACAAAACAAAAACACCTAAATGAAAGATCTGCAAGTGAGATCCCAGTGGAAAGAACAGGCCATCAAAGGAGGTACCTTTCTCTGAAGGGAGGAGAGAACTTCCACTTTGACTATGACCTTGTCTAAATAAGATCTGAGTCAGCAAACTCAAAAGCCTTGGCAACTCATGACAAGAGCCTAGGGAGATTACTGACGCCATAAACAAGAGTGTCAATTTGTTAAGTCAACAATAGGAGTCACTGTGCACTTACTCCTCATGTAGGATCTCTGTCCTTAATGTGTTGTTCATTGTGAATTATTGCTATAACTAGTATTCAAACAGTATTTTACACTTTATGTTTCTGTGTGGGTGCAAACTGTTGAAATTTTTACTTGATATATACTAAATTGATCTTCTGTATATAAAGAAAATTGAAAATGAAAAAAAAATCCCTTCTTATATAATATCAATGTTCCAATAGAAAGAGAGCTAGATTTGACACCAAATTTTAGTCTGATCAGGCTAATAAGATGTAAATTAATATTTCATAGTTATCTATATTTTCTAAATTTTCAACTATTATTATATACTTTTAATAAATAAAAGTCTTACAACTATTTTAGAACAAATATTTGCCCAATTTCCTGCTCTACCCAGTATGAGTTAGGCCTGCATAAACTGAAAATGATAGTTCTTTTCCAGCTGAAGTGATAAACTGAGGAACACACACCAACAATTTATTCTTACAGTGAGTGATAATGCTACGGCCAACTATTGTTTTGGTTATCATCATCATTGCTTTGACATTTGACACAATAACTTTAGAAACCATATTTAGCATTATTTTATCCTAACAACAGTTCTATCGATTAGGTTACAAGATATTTCATAGTATACAGAATATTTTTACCAACTGTCAAAGAAAGTTATTCATATGAATAACTGCTCAAAAATAATGACATAATTCTCAAATAAATTCAAATATAAAGTGAGAAAGGGAGAGTGTATGCTTCCCAGTGATATATTTAGTGTGATTCACACATTGCGTATTTAAAATAAATACTTGATTTAAGCTGACATTCGAAATGTTGTAATGGAATGGAATAAAAATGGAATCATATGGAATTGTGTGGTGGATGTATTTAAGGATACGAGCCATGACTTACTTTATTTTTATTTAAATATGCAGCTCAACTCCTGAAGTGGGAAATGAAGAATTGCACAGTTGGTTCAATTAATGCAAACAGTGTATCCTCCAGTCTCCTGGGAAGAGGAAATGACAGTGAAGATGAAGTGAGATTTCGAGAAGTTGTTATGGAACACATTAGCAAGATGGAGAAAAGAATCCAATATATTTCAGATACTGAAGAAAATCTCGTAGATTCAGAGCATTTTCAAAATTTCAGTGTGACAACTGATCAACGATTTGCTGATGTTCTTCTCCAACTAAGTACCTTGGTTCCCACAGTCCAGGGACATGGGAATGCCGTAGATGAAATCACCAGGTCCTTAATAAGTCTGAATACCACGCTGCTTGATTTGCACCTCTATGTAGAAACACTGAATGTCAAATTCCAGGAGAATACACTTAAAGGGCAAGAGGTAAGAATTGTTATATTGGAAGGTCACATGATGGAATTGAAGCCATGTAGGTCCTGTCTCTTCAGGCAGTACAAAAAAGCAATAGTGGAAAAAGCCTGTTTCAACATCATTCTATTTACTTTCTTCCCTCTAAATCTTACCAGAAGGTGTCAAATGGATTTACCCAGTGCCTCCTTTGGATTCCCAGCAAAAGGGCAGTCTTCTTTCTGTTTGATAGAGAATTTCTTAATATTTTTTTTTGCAAATACTAGCAAAGTGCGTTGTTAGGTTGTCTAAACCAGTTGTTACTTTGAGACTATCTTAATGTGTCTGAAGAGGTACACATTGCGTATTTGTGTATTTTACAACAGACCCAGTATTTCTTCATTGTCAAAGGAAAGCAACCTTATTTACATGGACACCTCACACACTCTAGATTTTGAAATAATTTATTTTTCCTCTCCTAGGAAGTACAAGTTTTTGTGTGTGCAGATGACTATACACAAAAAAATTACATTTTGAATAATGTGTACTTCTTATGAGCATAGGATCATTATAGAATAATGCTTATTACCATCTTAGGATCAACTAAACATTAAGTTTTCTACTTTGATGCAAAGTATAATATTACGTAAACTTTGGGAAAGACAGCAATGAGAAAAGCACTATTACAATCAGTCTGTAGAATATAGAATCAAATATCCCCATATATTACTGCCAAGAGAGTGAAACTAGCTATCTACAAAGTTTTCTTTGTAAAGGATAAGATGGAAATGCAGGCTGTTGGGATCATTTGCTTCTGCCTCAACAACTCAAGGCCACAACGGGAGCTTGAAAGCAACCTAGATAATGTGTAGACAAATGAGCCAAGCTGTGATTACAATATTTATCTACAAAAGCAGGTCATGGGTTGAATTTGGCCCATAGACCATAATTCAGAATTCTGCTCTTGACTATACTGTGGTCAACCATGATTAAGATCTGGGTTACTTTGTGCTGATGATAAAGAAATTAGAAGTAAATCATTCATTTTAAAATCATATTTCATTGAATAATTATATATTTTTCTTTTCATAATAATAAATATTTGACTAAAATCTCATTGCCTCTGTGAAAGATAATCTTCCTGTTATAAAATATCTAAGACCTAGGATCATAAATCATGTGAAGCTTCTAAAATTTCCATCATTTGCTAAGTGATGTTTGCATCACTGTACTATTTTTAAATGAAAAAATTCATTCTTTTTTGATGAGGCTTTTTTCTGTATAGATAGAATATTTTTTTTTTTTTTTTTTTTTCAGGCAGAGTGGACAGTGAGAGAGGAGAGACAGAGAGAGAAAGGTCTCCTTCTTTGGCGGTGGGTCCCCCAATGGCCGCCGCTGCAGCCGGCGCACCGCGCTGATCCGATGGCAGGAGCCAGGATCCAGGTGCTTTTTTCCTGGTCTCCCATGGGGTGCAGGGCCCAAGCACCTGGGCCATCCTCCACTGCACTCCCTGGCCATAGCAGAGAGCTGGCCTGGAAGAGGGGCAACCGGGACAGAATCCGGCGCCCCAACCGGGACTAGAACCCGGTGTGCCGGCGCCGCAAGGTGGAGGATTAGCCTATTGAGCCACGGCGCCGGCTCTGTATAGATAGAATATTACACAGTGATTTTAAAACATCAGTGCCACTTATAGTACAGATAAACCTCTGAAGTTGTACCATCAGATGAAAACCAACCAAATTGTTGAGAGAATATCCTAAACAGGGTAAGAAGGAATATTTTATATTGCAATAATTTGAGTAATTAAATACTCAAAATTATTGAATTTTCACCTGGTCTTTATCTTAAGGTGTCAGAAGACGATGACTAAATAATTTAAATAAGGAGACTTTGTTGGTGAACCATATCCCGACACCAACTTTGACATTCTGCTGGTGATCCACATGCCTGCTTCTAAAATCTGTCAGTGTTTCTCATACTGTTAATAAATACCTAAGCATACAAAATGAGATATCAAAGACTTGGGATATGAGAGGGTTCCAGAAAATACACAAAGATCAAGGAGTTTGCTAGATCATGGTCCCTCCAGAGGATCTAGTAGAAATTCTGTTATTAGCATCTATCTGCTTCCAATGGCTGCTGAAATTCTTTGACTCATAGTCACAACTCCAGTCTCTGCCTCTGCAGCCAGTCCCAGTACCTTCTCTTCTGTGTATACCACATATTCTTCTGTTTCTCTCTTATCAGGGTATCTGTGATGGGATTTAATGTCCACCCAGGTAATCTGTCTTTGTAAGGATCTATGATCACTTCACAAAGATCTTTTTATTTAAAAGATAACACTTATAAAGATTTCAGTGAATGGGACCCTGTATCTTTTGGGGGCCACTGCCTCACCTACTGCACTTTTCTTTTCTCTATAAGTTTATTTTCATTAAATATGGTACATGACAAATTCATTTCTCAACCTCAAATTCTGTTAATTAGACTGAAACTTCTCAACTTCAGAACTAGTTTTCAACTTAATCTGCATTGTTACTATTTTTCCATCAAGTGTTAAAATCTTGTCTTGTGCTGCATAGTACAATAGTACCCAAACATGGGCTGTCCAGTGGAGTAGCTCTTGGACACCCTTCTACTGAGCACTTGAGCTATGACTTAGAATTGGAATGTGCTCTAAGTATAAAATACACTCCAGGATTTGACATTAGTGTGAAAAGAATATAAAATGTATCATTAATAATTTCATATTTGGTTCACGTTGATGTATATATTTTGGACATATTGAGTTAAATAAAATATCCTACTTAATTTTTTTTTACATAAAATGCATTCAGAAGAAATATTCCATGGTGTTAAGGAATGTGGGAGGTACAGGGGTTAGAGTCAGCTACAGAAGACTGCTTAAGTTGAAAGGAAAAAGATAGGGAGAAGAAATTTACTTTATGTTGAAAAAGAGGAGAGTTGAGATGGGGTGAGGAGAGAGAGAGAGGGTGGACAAAGTACAATAAAGACTTTAAATTTGATAATGCACCGAATTCAGCAGGGATCACAGAATGTCTTTAAGTGCACATGAATGAGGAAGTGAAACCACACTGGAAACCATTTGGAAGGTAGTAGAAATTTTGAGTATATGAAAAGTGATATTTAATGGAAATAAGAGAAATCTGATGATCACTAGACTGTTTTGAGTATGCAGAGACTGCACTTAGGATAATTGGAGGGAGTTCTAGCATTATAAGAGGAGGCACAAGTTCATGGTGGCACTTTGAAAGTTACATACTTTTTAAAAGACAGTAATCATTTCTAGTGATTTAGAAGCTAAGTAAATATATGTGTGTGTATGCATATGTTTGTGTGTGCATGCTTCCATATGTGTGCACATCTGTGGACACTGAAAAGCAACATTGGGACTTTGGTCTTCCTTGTTCTCAATAAAAGAATCTTTGGATCTTTAGCCCAGTACAGGATATAAGTAAATTAAATGAATGCTTGAATCATCAAATGCTGCTTGAACAAGATTTGTATGTGATACCTGTATAATGCTTATCCAGGGCAGTTCAAGTGGTAATTTGAAAGAAAAGAAGAACCAAAGGGCAGATGGGGTGGAATTTACCTTCTCCATGGTTCATGGAAAAGACTGAGATTGCAAAATATCGTGTTTGTTTTCAGCAAAAAGAATGGAGTGCGGAGGGTGTGCCGGAGGTTGCATGGGATTTTTTTTAGTCCAACACTGTTTCCCTCCTCCTAGTAAAAATAATTCCAGAGGAAACGTGGACAGTGTAAACATCATATGCAATTTTCAAAGGGAATAAAAAGGTAGTCTAAGCCTTAGGCATGAAAAATATGGGCAGTTCCAGGTTTCTAGGTTGTAAAATTGCTTGCCTATCCCCTGATGGTTGTTCTGTCAAAGTTTGAAACTACCTGACATACTGGCAACAAAAGGTAGCCCCATAAATTAAGTCAAGTGGGTTTATCGTATTGCGAAGTCCTACAAACATCCATGTTCACCGTCTCACCTTTCTTTTCATATAATGTTGTGCAGTAAGTGATGAGCATCAGAGCAGGGGGTGGAAGGCAGGATATGCTCTAGAGCAAGGTTTCGCATGGAGAAGGGCACAGTTAGAGCAGTAAGTCTCTATGCATAATTGTCCTGTCATTGAAGAGGGCATACACTCAGGCATGCACTTCTTTTACAAAGGGTTTACATTCTGATTTGATTGCCTTACCACAATGTCTCCAAGAGAGTGTAATTTTCTCTTCACCCCCAATTTAAGGAATAATATACCACTGTTTTATTTATACATAAAAATGGGAAGCAATCTGTCAGTAGTTGAACATAAACTTTAAAAAGTAACCCACAAAATGAGAAGGGATAAAAATGGAACAAAGAGACAGAAAATTTATCAGAATAAATGAGAAGAGTCTGTGAAACAAAAAGACAAAGCCCTACATTCAAAGAGAAAGCCAAGCAAATGACCTGAGAGAAAAATTACCCGAGAAAAATGTTTTCAGAAACTTGATGACTGGGTGTTTTAACCTCATTGCAATTTGAGGAGCACATTGTCACAATGATTTTCTATTTACTACTCTTCAAATGAAATATATTTGTGGGTAATAAGTATGAGGGTGCAAGCTGCAGGCACTGACGTGCAGTTAGTAATAGGAAAAAATGAACAGTATCATTGGAGGACAGTGTGGTAATACTGAACAAAAATTTTAATGTGTAGTTCCATTGGTCAAATCCACTTCCAGGAAGCTGCCATATAGAAGTACATTTATGAATACATAAGTATATACCAAATGAGGTTAATTGTAATAATGCTTAGAACTGTAAAAATGTGTACAGCTGAAAATTCAAATCAATAGGAACCCTTAGATTATGAAAAAATAATACAATTCCACTTCATTATTGAAAATAAGATCATCTGTACTTAATAGATAAGTACCCTTAATATTTTATTGAGTAAAAAGTAAAAGTATATTTCAGAACATAGTACAAGTATGATATTTTTCACATAGATGCATATATGTGTATATATAGAAATATATAAAATACATATACAGATAATTAGGAAACATCAAATACAGAAGCCATAAAATTTAAAATATTGTTAATTTGTTAGTTTCAGGTATTATTGAGTATGAAAATCTGTCAATATTCATTGCCATTAAGAAGTAAACTATGACTTTTGCTATAAAATAACTTTTAGAGGAAACTGTCAAATTCACAGACATAGAATATATTGCTACTGTAAGTACACCATGAAGAAATTGTACTTCACATAGATCTAAAACCATGTGATAAGCTTTTAATTTATTTTTGTTTTGACATCTATGTATTTGGGAATAGAAGCATACCTTAGATAAACTCATCTGTGCTGTGATGTGAAAATTCAGGTTTTCAGTCAAAAGAGGAAATGCTTCAGAACTAAAGAATTGTTATTTTAAAAGCTTCCAAATTATTGTATTATTATTCCATAAAATCTCTTTAATACGTATTTAAAAAAATCTTGTCTCTCCATGACTGCTTGAACTTACATACTTAGTAATTCTGTGCAAAAACAGTTGTGGTTGGTTCCTTAACTTTCACAGGAAATCAGCAAATTAAAGGAGCGTGTGCACAATGCATCAGCAGAAATTATGTCTATGAAAGAAGAACAAGTGCATTTGGAACAGGAAATAAAAAGAGAAGTGAAAGTCCTGAATAACATCACTAATGATCTCAGGCTGAAAGATTGGGAACATTCTCAGACGTTGAGAAATATCACTTTAATTCAAGGTAAAATATCTTGTCTTTCTTCCAGAAAATTGACAAATTAATAATGTCCTGATAAATTCAGGGATTTAGTATTACAAATTCACTAATTCTAAATAGTTTTTGAGGGTACATAAACAACAAAGGCACAGAGATAAGAATCTTAAGATCATGTCTAGACATAGTAAAACTAGACTCCTTTAAATAGAAAGGGGTAAGCAAATGAAATCTCTCATTGTTGAAAATACTTCTAAGTCCCCAAAAAGCAATACAAATTTTCAAAAAGTACAAGTTAATTCGTTTTGTTTTATGTTTTATGCTTGCCTTTCTTGCCTGCTTTTGGATTGATCGAAATTTTTCTGTCACTGAATTTTTCTCTTTACCAACGTTACCAAAAAGATTTTGGAAATTTTTCACTGAATTTCTTTTTTCTTAATTTTGTCCTTGAAAGGCATCCTAACAATGTCTGAAGTGATCAGTATCTTATTAAATAAAAAGTGATTTACTTATTTATTTGAACAGCAGAGAGAAAGATAGATAGAAAAAGAGATTTTTCACCTGCTGATTCACTCCCCAGATGCCTGCAACAGCCAGGGCTGGGCCAGGCCAAAGCCAAAGAGCCAAAAACCCAATCCAGGTCTCCCATATGGGTGGTAGGAACCAGTACATGGGCCATCACAGGCTGCCACCCAAGTGCATAGGTGGGAAACAGAATTCAAAGTGTGGAATAGCTGATACTTAAACCAGGACTCCAATATGGGATGTAGCGTTACAAGCAGGGGCTTAGCCTGCTTTGTGGCAATGTCCATCCTAGTTGATCAGTACATTCACCATCATTCTAAAAGACTGAAATAACCCAAAATGCTTAGACTGATCATCCCCTCCCCCAGGTTCCTGCATTTTTAAGTGTAATTTATTTCAGTTTTATATAATGTTTTAAATCAAGAACTTAGTCAATATTATTTTTCTTACTAAAAAGAGATAATGTATATTTGAATTTGCCCATAAACTTACCAGTTGGTTCCCTTTGTAAAGGCACCTCAGTCATCCATGCTGGAATCATTTCCTTTTATGCCTAAACTATACTTTTGGAAGTTCATTTAGTGAAAGTACATTGGTGGTGAAACACTTTGATTTCGCTTTCTCTGTTTTGTTCTTGATCTTTAATGTTATTTTACCATATTCACGTTTCTTAATGTAAACGCTTATTATGGATATTTCTGTGAGTATTTTAAGAAATCTATTCCTTGACTTTCAGCTTTCCTTGTTCTTAAATATGACTGATACCAATCTGCTTGCCAACATTTTTGCCTTTATTATCAGAAGTCTCACTCATCCGCATTTTTGTGTTAACAATATATCTATTTGACATTTGTATTTTAAAGTCTTTCATCAATTTGAGAATGTTATCAACTTCAACATCTTTGAATATTGTGTCTTCATAATTCTTCTTTTCTCCATAATCTTAATTAAATTCATTGTAAAATTTCTCATTCTACTTTCCATATCTTTTAAACTCTATTTCAGGATTATAATCTTTTTTATCTCATCAGTAAGTAAAGGAATAGAAATTAAGAACTCTATGAGATTTATTTATATATTACAAGTTATTGATAAGAATAAAACAATTTAAAACATGTCAGATAATATGATATAAATTAATATAAAACAAGTAGACAGTATAATTTTTGTTTATAATCTTGCAATTCAGCAAGTATTAAGTAAATAATGGACATTTAGAGACACAAATGTAATAAGAATGGTTGTTTTTAAAATGTAAGAAACAGAAACAATAACTTCAGATTATTGTTTATCTTTGAAAGTAAGTATGTATATATATATAAGGGAGAACCTAGGTGAGTATTTCTTGGATTGTGACATTGCAGGGATATTCTCTTTATTACTGTACTTAATAAATTACTGAAGTAAAACACTTGTTAAAAATATTTAATCATTACATTAAAACAGTTGATAAAGAAAAATTGCAACTTAATCTGCTTTATCTCTAAAATTATATACTTCCACTATTGGATTTCAAATATTGAAAATTTTACAAATCCAGAACCAAACCATTGACACTTGATCAGGCAACATCATCTACCATTCCAAATTTAATACTTTCCCATTCTTCTTGTCAGTTGTGTCACTGTCCAACTAGTTGTTCACTTAAGATATCAGAAAACTATTTTTAACTTCTCTCTTAACCCACTATATGTACAACAAAAGAATTCTTAAAAAAATCTACACATATTATTTTATCCTTCTTCCCTCATAGTAAAGACACTCTAATATCTTCCCACTGTAGTGGAAATAAAATCTAAATTCTTATGCGATCTGGCAAGCCTTTATTTCTATGCCTTCATTTTCTAATGTCCCCTCTGACATTCCTCTGCCTAGCATGGAAATGAGGATGAGTGACAGAAAATGTAAGTTGAAAAGGAGGAAATGCGAGGGCCAGCATTGTGGCGTTGTGAGTAAAGATACCTCCTGGGATGCCAGCATCCCATATTGGTTGGTTCATGTCCCAGCTGCTCTACTTTGTCGCGAGTGCCTACTGTCACGCAGCTCGACAGTAGCAAGTGGGGCATACGACTTGTCACAGGGAAGAGAGGAATATCAGGACACAAGACTGTCTTTCCAATGAGAGATTTTATTGCTTACACACCAGGGGTTTTTTATCACACTACTCATCGGCATGCTCATTGAGGTCAATACACTTATCAGTACCAATATACTTTATCAATCTATACTATTTAATACACTTATCAATAAACTTAACACCACTACTTAATGCGACTTAAATACTTAGCTACTTAGCGTAACATAACTACTTAGCTTAACTACTTGGCCTAATCACCTAACTTAACATAATTACTTAACACACTTATCAATATCACTAATATCACTATCAATAATATCACTTATCATAATTTATAGCTAACTTAACACACTTACTGAATTACTTAGTTTAACATAACTACTTATCATCTACTTAACTTACTCACTACAATACTTAACTATCAGAGTAACACTATTTCCTTAATGACTAGAGGACTACTGGAATCAACACCATTAATATCAATATCAATAATACTACTTGAACTTATTCATTAATCCATAGATCACAGTATACAGTGTTAAAGTAATTTTGAGGGCTATCTAATTATATTAGCATGTGTACATCAAGGTCTCCAGCATTATTTACAGATACCTTGCACAGGGTCAAAACATAGTTATATTATTTTACACGTGACTAACATTATTTGTAAAAGCTGTGTTTTCAAGGTTTGTATCACGGTCATGAAAAAGAGTGTCAGTGTTCAAGGTCCAAAGCTCCACGTCTCGGCAGAGACGGATCTCGGATCAGTCATTTACAAGCAGAAAGTCGTGGGAAGGCTGTCCCTCTGGGCAGTAGGCTCAAAGTTCCCAGGCGGAGGGCCAGGCAAGAAGTTGGAGAGGTCCCCTGCTGAGAGGCCTGGTCCGGCTTTGTGGTCAGGTTTGGCAGCAGGGTTGATAAGGACTCCAGGCCAGGCGATGAGGCAGCATCTCGGCTGGAGTTTTGATCCCGTAGTCAGCTTGTGTTGCTTAGCAAGGGGGCTAGCGAGCTGGCGCTTTAGCTCCAAGTGCCAGGAGATCCAGAGGTTCGTTCGCACTGGGCCACACACACACATTCACACACAGACAGTGGGGTTACAGCTCAGGGACAGCTCTGCAGGTCGGCTTGTGCCGCTACCTGCTCCGTGCAGAGCAGTAGGCTGCCTCTTCAGCTCCGGATGTGTGGAGATCCAGAGGTTCACACACACACACACACACACACACACACACACACGATCCCTGAGAGGATGAAGAGTGGTGCGAGGGCTCCCTTTTTATCCTCATTTTCAGCAGTTCTCCAGCTTGCCATCTTCCAGCTTGTCCAATCAATGACGGTTCCTCCTTGCTTATAGTCAAGCAGTCCAGTCAGTACTGTTCCCGTCTTACTTATGTTTGAACTGTCCAGTCAGCGTGGGTAGGAGGGTATTGTCCATAGCGCACTGTAATCTGACTGCCCAGAGATGTCTGCTTGGTATGATTAGGAGCGTCTCCCTAACAGCCATTAGGCATTGCCTCAGCTCCTGACTTATAACTCCACTTTACTTTTATTTTTGTGGCTTATGGTAACTTTTCAACTCAATGTTTTACCGTGTTTCCACAGTTCATCTCCTTTTCAAGTAAGCGGTGATCTGTGACTCTTTTTTAAATTCCTGTGGGATTCTCCACACACTTCCAGTCCAACTCCCTGCTGATGGCCTGAGAAAAGCATTGGATGGATGGTGGCTCAAGTGTTTGGGCTCCTACCACCCAAGTGGGAGACCCAGATGAAGCTTCTGGCTCTGTTGTAGTCATCTAGGGAGTAAATTAGCAGATGGAAGATCTCTCCCCTCCCCTCCCCTTTCTCTCTCTCTCTTTCTCTGTAACTCTGATTTTCAAACAAATAAGTAAATCTTTAAAAAGAAAAGGAGGAAGTGCTAGTTTCACTTTATGCGGTCTGTAATGAGCTCTAGACTCCTCTTCCCGTTGAAACATTCTTCACTTATACATTCACTCCTTTTTGGCTCCACTCAAAATTGCATTTTTGGAGATGACTCCTCCATCTCCTCATTCATATTCTCACTCCCAAATATCTGTATCATTATTTGCTTTGACTACCTCATAGTACTTACCAGTATATAAAATTATTTCATATGATTATTTTTAATAATCTATCTTCTCAAATCAAATGTGAGCTCCACAAAGTCATGTCTTGTCTCTCTTGCCCACCTGTACATACCCATCATCTATTAGAGTGTCTTGAATACAGTGAGTGAGCAATTACATATGTATTGTATAAGTGAAACTAACACCTCCTTCTTATCAGTGCAACAGCATTGCTCTTCCAGGTTTCAGAGCTAGATGTTTTAATTACTTTTTTTTTTATATCTCCCAAGGCTACTATTTGTTTTTATTTTATGTATTTCTCTACCCTCTGCATGTTCTTGCAAAATTTCTTATCACCATTCTACCAGACAATTGTAATTATTTCATATCTCAGGGTTCCAGACTGTATATACAAACCCATTTTTAGATTGCAGACTTCCCAAAGGGAAACTATAGATTGCAAAAAGGCCACTGCCTCCTCAGAAGGCATGCATTCCTCTCTGCGGTGTTTGAAGTCTTCTATGGTAGATCTCTTTCTTTTTGAATGCTTCATTCTTCCCCTGGTTATTGATATGTTTATGGTTCAGAATTTTGAAGAAGCTAAATAGCAATAAAGAACAATGAAGAACAAGCAAACAATAGCCTTTAGGTCTCTTAACTCCAAGTCTTTCATTCTTTTGTTCTTTGATAGAATATAAGACTGCATTTCTTTGTAATTCATGGAGTGTGTTTGAAATATTGTTCTCCTATACCTCCATTCCTTCTTGGCTCCACTCAAAATTGTGTTTTCAAACACACTTTCTATTACAAAAGCCAGCACCAAAGGAAATATCTGTGTGAGATAGACAAAATATTTCAACACCAGATTAACACCTCTATCACTAGTCTAACTGCAGGAGGATGAGGTTGTGTGCTACAGTAGAAGGGTAGGAGGGGGACTAGCTTTGGAAACTACAGGGACAGCATGATGTTGACAAGGTTCTCAAAAGTTCCATGCATGAAGCTCAGCATAGCTTCTTTCTATGTGATTTGTGTATTTCCATTCTCCCCCAGAATATCTAAAAGAAACTGAAAGCATGTTAGTGAGATTCTTTCTACATTTTATTGGTGGTAGTAAAAGAGGCATAACAATATATAAAAAAAAAATATAGTATGAGGAATTAAAGAATCTGCTTATTTGGGTGCAAAGCAAACAAAAAAAAAACCCTCTGAAATCCTACATACAGTCTTCAAAAAGTTCACAAAAAACATATCATAAAAAACTATGACTTTCATAGAGTTTTGCACCAGTATAAATTCATATTTTAATTCAATTTTCCACAAACTTCTTTAAGTTCCCTAGTAGAGGTATATTAATGCTACATAAAACATAAAATAACAAGTATAATTTCCAACATACAGTTATGGATATTTCTAATATCTAGTTAGAGATATTTACCTGGCTTTCTTACTTTAGATTAGATACCAGGTATTAGTATTTTGATATAAAAATACAAGGAAGGTTCTTTAAACTTTATAAAATTAAATAGATGTATTTATTGTGACAGAACCAATATTCCAAAATGAGTGTTGTGTGCAATCCCCAAAGTTCCATGCAAAATAATTGAAAGGATTATTGATAATAAGAGTTTCATCTCTTATTTACCAAAAAAAAAAAAAAAAAGTGAAAACTCAATCTCAGAGACTTAATACCTTGGCCTCGTCCATGTGTCTCTGTTTCTTGATTTACACATTTTAATTATTCCTATAAGATCTGTGTCTTGCTTAGAGCCCTGATTATTAAACTGAAGTATCAGTGCCCTTTTTTTTTTTTCAGACACCTTTCTTGAGTGTGATGGTTTGCTTCTTTTCAATTTGTTCAACCAAACTCAAGCTGAAGACTGAGGCTTGCCCCTTCACTGCCACTGTGCTGTGATGAATGGGCTGAAGCTGTGTTCACGGTTGTGGAAACTCTGCTCCCTGTCTCGGGAAGAACTACATTCTTCCACATAGAATAAACATTCACACTGATTCCAACCGATAGAGAATCAGGAACTTCTTTGGTGCAACACCTAAATATATGTGTGCCAACATCAAGCTAGAGCTTGAGATGGTTCACTAGTTAATTGCTTAATGCCTGCAGAATGGGGTTTACATGAAGATTATGTAAAAAAAAAAAAAAAAAAAAGCCAAAAATTCACATACATACACACACCCAGAGGAAAGAAATTTCAATGGTTATTCTCTTAGAATGATGAAATTTTACATTATATTTACATTATTTTTCCTCCTGCTTTTTTCTAGGCTTTTATATTTTCTATAATTGAATTCCTTTTCTAAAATACAATAGAGTATTGCTGTTTAATATTACATAGGAAGAGAAAGGGAGATTATGAATTGAGAAGAGCAAGGATGCCATGAACTGATTAAGCCCACATTGGACCTTAGAAAATTAGATCAGATAAATAGAAATAGGGACAAGGATGTCAAAAGAAGAAAAGAAAATGTACAGGATACACTTATTCATGAGATAATCTTTGTATGACCCTTACTTAGAATTCTTCAGGTATTTTGTCTCCCCACCCTATTAAATTTGTAACAAATGTTCTTTTTTAATTTTTTAACTTTTATTTAATAAATATAAATTTCCAAAGTACAACTTTGGAATTATAGTGGCTTTCCCCCCCATAACCTCCCTCCCACCTGCAACCATCCCATCTCCCACTCCCTCTCCCAACCTATTCCTCATCACAATTCATTTTCAATTATCTTTATATACAGAAGATCAACTTAGTATATACTAAGCAAAGATTTCAACAGACTCTTTAACCAAACATGCTAAATATAGCTGTGCATTGTCTTTGCGATCTACAAATAACCAAACCTCAGCAATTGAGAATGCCTCTTCAAAAACTTTTATTTATTTTATTTGAAAGGCAGAAAGAGAGCTAAGCAGACAGAGAAAAATGCCCCATCCTCAAAAACCCACAATAGCTGGTGCCGGCCTGGACCAAGCAAAGTCCAGGTCTCCCATGTAAGTGGCAGAAATCCAATTACTTGAGCTATCATCTGCAGCTTTCCAGGGTGCTGAGAATACCTGTTTGAAAACATTGCTATCATATTACTTTATGGTACATCCACGTTTGTTTCTTCCTTTTGGAACTAAAAAGAAAGTTAAATGTCCTGTTTAGATGAAGGGAAGAATATTTGTCTTATATACTCCGTGTGAAAAGGGAATGCAGACAGAAGTATTTTTAATTTCTAAGGATATTCAGTATAATCATTCTAAAGATGTGATCACCAGATACCTGTTTTGCTGGACACAAAATCAAATAATTAAATCATTATTCAAACTCAGTTTTCAGAAATCATGTGGTAAATTGTGAAAGCAAGCAAATTTCCTTGCTAACACTTCATCTTATTTTATAGTATCTAAATTGGTCTGGGTATTCTACTTAGCATTTGATTTAAAAATATATCCCTGTATTTATTTTGACCTGGCTGCCTTTCTCTATGACTCTCCCACATCCTCACATGTCTTTTCTCATTGTACTCATTCTTCAAAGAGCCCCCTTTAAATTCTAGTCCCTCAATAATTCCCTTTCAACCTTTGTCATTCATGAAAATTTCCATCTCCCTGACAAACATATGAGTTTCTGGTGAGGTTTACAAACAGACATTTTAGATGTCTCCAATGTTTGAATTGTGTTGCTTTAGAGCCCTCACATATGTGTTGTTAAGTCCACATGCACGTCTCTCCCACATAGCATCTCTGCAGTACAGTAAAATCTTCTCAGTATTTACACAATATGAAATACTTAGAAAAATTTCATTGACAAATGTTGGTAAAAAGACTATGTGTTCTCCATGACTACTTCAAAAATTATAGATTTATTTACATATTTATTTATTTATCTGAAAGAGTGTGACAGAGTGAGGGGCAGAGAAAGAGAGGTCTTCCATCTGCTGATTCACTCCCCAAACGGCCACAACAGCCGGGTCTGGACCAGACCAAACCCAGGAGCCAGGAATTCCATTGGGGCCTCCCACATTGGTAGCAGGGTCCCAAGCTCTTGGTGCGTTGTCTGCTACCTTCCTAGGAACATGAGCAGGAAGCTGCATCAGAAGTACAGCAGCTGGGACTCACTTTGTTGTAGGACGCCAGATGTGCAGGCAGTGGTGCCACGATGCTGCTCCCTCTTAACACTTTGAAGACCTCTCTTAAAAATACAGCTTTGTGCTCTTCTAGGGCCTTTTTTTCCCCTTAGATTCTGAGAACCTGGAAACTTGTCAGATACACATATACACTTTTAATACATTTTGGGCTGTTTAATTTGGGACTGTGTCCTCTTTATTATTATAAGACACTAGAGTAGTCAATAGCAAAGTATTCCTCTGTTTTGGGAAGGCCAGTCTTACTTATTCTATGTTACTGCACAAAAAATAAAAAGCTTTACATTTCTTAATGTAAATGTCTTGACAGGTGACAAATCCATTTTACCTATGCTTTACAACTGTAACCTGTAATTGTAACATTTTTTTAAAGGTCCTCCTGGACCCCCAGGAGAAAAAGGAGATAGAGGTCCAACCGGAGAAAGTGGTCCACCAGGCGTTCCAGGTCCAGTAGGTATGGTAACAGAACTACTTCATCCTATGCTTTGAGTCTAGGAGATGCATATGCGTGTTCTCATGTATGTGGGGTGAGGATGACTTATTTGTTTACTATGTGTATGTGTGTGTGTGTGTGTGTGCATGCGTGCGTGTAGGCATCATGTATGTTGGGGGAGATGTGAAGCCTAATCAAGTAATATTGTATACTACACCTACTGATAAGCATTGAATCTTGATTGTTGAATCGATTCAATATGTGAGCCATTGTACCAAATGGCATTGTTCTTATCTCTAGGGAGCATCAACTATATTGTGGGTTGCAAATAGTATAGAGCAGACTAAATTTAGGTACCACATGAAAGAGAATTAAAAATCATCTTCAGATTGAATAAGTACAAAAAAGTGAGTCAGGGAAAGTTTGGGTAGTATTTCTTATATAGCACTTGACTGGAATATATATTTAAACTCACAAAATTTGAATGTAAATATTGGATAAATTGTACAAGACTTTTTACCATTGCTTCAGAGCCATTCCGTGTATTTTATCTAGAAAAAATGTTTAAAATTATTTTCTTCTGTGATGCAATCTTGAAAGCAATATTTTGAAAGAAGTTATAGAATACACAGAAAAGGATAGAGTCTGTGAACTTTCTTTGCTCTTAAAAATTGAGAAAGATGGCCGGCACTGCGGCTCACTAGGCTAATCCTCCGCCTTGCGGCCCCGGCACACCGGGTTCTAGTCCCGGTCGGGGCACCGGATTCTGTCCTGGTTGCCCCTCTTCCAGGCCAGCTCTCTGCTGTGGCCCGGGAGTGCAGTGGAGGATGGCCCAAGTACTTGGGCCCTGCACCCCATGGGAGACCAGGATAAGCACCTGGCTCCTGCCATCAGATCAATGTGGTGCGCCTGCCACAGTACGCTGGCTGCGGCAGCCATTGGAGGGTGAACCAATGGCAAAGGAAGACCTTTCTCTCTGTCTCTCTCTCTCACTGTCCACTCTGCCTGTCAATAAATAAATAAATAATAAATAAATAAATAGATAAATTGAGAAAGACGATAACAGTAACTCGATTGTCATATTACACTGGCTAGAAATCAGATACTCTCGTGCAGTTTGAAAGTAGGGAATGCATTACATAGTCTAATTATAATTAGAATGGTTTGTGCTGCCAAAAATGCCTAAACATATATTACATCTTATTTTTCTGTCTTTTGATTTCATAAAATGTTCTACTTTCCAATCAATGTATTGAGTTACATTAGAAAAAAACAATTTTTGAAAATGAAAAGCATGAATTTGACACCTGCCTGACCTTTACATCATCATGTTTAAAAAGCAATATATGAAACTTTTATCAAGAAGCATTTTTGAAACTATTTTAAAAGACTCTGATATGCTAGATGGGTTGTTTTTGTGTCTTTGAAAGTACCATCAAGTAAAAATTTCATTCAGAAAAAATCCCTTGTATTTGACTGCACTCAGCAGACCTTAGCGATGGTACATTAATGTTCTAAGCAGGGGAAGTAATCAGTATTATATCAGCTGCCAGAGCTGCTATTGTCAAGGGTCTGTCATCTCCTCCATTATAAACTGCACTTGTCAAAGCTTTATAACTCAACCATAACAGTTCTGTCTGTGCTACAACTTGCTGTACAAAGCTTTATCTTGGGAGCATCTTCTGCAGCTCTTTCTAAACTATGGATGTATGAAGTAGAAAAATGGATCTAAAAGTTTCAGCTTTTGTTAATGCTAGAAAGAGACGCCATTACAAAGGCTCTTTGAGTCTTTTAGTGAGGGTTACTTTGTTACTTTTGCTACTTGCTGATTTACACAAATAGGCACTATCCAATTTTTCATGAAAGGGAGAGAGATGTAGTTGCTGGGGTGATAAATTGACTCTCGGGTTATCAGGTTGCCATTTGTGTTGGTGCATGGCAGCAAAAGTGTTCAAGGCAGAAAGCATCTATCCTAACAGATTCTTCCCTGTTTGACTGCTGCATTGTTTCCCTCTCTGCCAGACTGCCTAATTGCTTCATAGTTGGTACTGACATCAGGAAATAAAGAGTGTATGATAGGTAATCAAAGTAATTGCATGTTATGGTCAGAGCAAATTCATTGAGTCTTTAAGTATACATCCAGTTGATCACACAAAACTCAACTTGACCAACTCAAACTCACCTAGACTCACAGGATGATATGAATATCTGAGAAAGTTTAGTGATTATCCTTGTGGTCTTCAATCATGAATACATTAAATGTATCACAGTCTTGCTCATGGCCCAGGTTGGGTATTATGTCACATTATGCCTTATCTGAAAACAACATCAGAGGAATTCACTTCAGAGTACCATTTCCTTGCAAGCATGCTGGGGGAGAATGACCTTTCATTCAGGAAATATGTACTGATCATTTTCCACATACCTGGTGTTCTCTACCCTGTGGAGTACTCACGACAAATTCAGAGTCTCTGCCTTCACAGAGCATACAGTATGATAAGTAATTAATACAGTATGATAAGTAATTATAGAAGGGAGGCGTATGTCATGACGAAGGGTTCATCTCATCGCAAGTCCTTTGGGAACATTTAAAGTTATTACCCCATTGCAAAATGCTGCAAAGAAGGATTACCCCCTTGGTTTCTGAAGAAACCATTTTACAGGCCATCTAATCAACTATTTCTGCCCAGGAAGGATTAATAATAAGCTAACTTGACCAGTGAGCATAAGAGGGGCTACCTACACATGATTCTTAGAGAACTGAATGTGCTTCTGGCTGCAAACTTCCATCATCAACCAGTACTATTTACTTTTCTTACATAGCCTGAACTTTGCACCATAGGAATCATGCCTCTGGAGGAATTATCTCCTGACATTACTAATGTTTTATTAATATTTCTAAACATACTTTGTTGTTTTATTATTTGTCAATATGCTTAATTTCTGTTGGAATTAAAGTTTTACACTGGACTTGATAATATTTCTTCACTCTTTCAAATAATCCTTCTTAAACTGAACATTTCTTATATTTTATAATCATTTTATGGATCATTTTATAAATGATCCATAAGAATTTTTTTTACAAATTAATATGTATAAACATTGCCTCCTATAACTTGCAGACTACAGGCAATGTTTTAAAAATTTAACAATAGAAAAACATATATTCTATTTCTTGCAATGTTCCTCTCCAAGGAGTCAATTGAAAATTTGACTAGTTGGATCTTACTTAGCTAATAATGGCATTTAAAGTCAGAAGAAGCACACTGAATATCAGATAAACTATTTCATTTCCTATGAACATAATATTTATTTTATATGCGGTTTTCATAGTCACTATAGAGATAAATGATTAAAAAAAGAAGTGGTGGTTTACAGTTTTCATATATGCATATAAAACCCAGGACTTGTATAGTATAAAATATATGCCTATAAATAAATATATGTAGTATGTATATGTGTATGTGTATTTGCATTGTTTGATTTAGGTCTATCAAAATCCTACCACTTGCAGATTCCTGATTACATAAGCTTTCTGATTAAAACTTCAATATTTATTTTTTTGCATGTACTTAATTTCAACTAGCAATGTTTTTAATTGAATTTCTACAGCATACCAAATACATTAATGTTTGAACTTATTACTTATACATTATCTTTCTGTGACATAGATGGAATTCTAGGAAAGCACTTCTGTTTGAAGATTCACTTATTCCATACTCATTAATGAAATTACATGACTTCATTGTACTCTCAGATATGTATGAAAGATTAATTGGTGCCTGCATTTTCTTCCCCATTAACCATGTAGGTCCTCCAGGTCTTAAGGGTGATCGAGGATCTATTGGCTTTCCGGGAAGTCGAGGATATCCAGGACAATCAGGGAAGACTGGGAGGACAGGTATTGTGTTACTTTGCCTGCTTGTTATTGAGGATACAGAAGAAATACCAAATCATAGACAGGCTTTTAAAATTCTTGGATAAAAAAAATGATAACCAAGTTAGGTATTTGGCCTAGTAGTAAAGATGCCAGTTAATTTGCCCATGTACCATGAGAGTACCTTAGAGTATCTTAGAACAAAGATAGTGGGAAGACTGGCAAAGAAAACCCAAGAAGCAACATGTAAATACCCCTTAAACCACAACTGGTTTTCAAAGCCTGCTCAGTTCCTGTTTTCCCAACACAGACAAGCCTGAAATTCTATGCTGTGAAAAATAAACTGCCCACTATTATTTATTAATGTGTAGCAATCCACATGGTTCTACACTTTAACAGTCACTCTCTTGATGGTTTTTTTTTTTTCTTCACTGCTTGTGCCAATGCCCTAAGCTCAAATTGTAAACTCTGAGCAGCAGTTTTAGAAAGGGGTAGGTTTATTATTGCAAATTGGATTTCAAGGTAGATTATTACCAAAAGAAAAGGATTCTTATCACCAGGGTATTTTACATAGATTTTGTTTTTAACAGTGGTTTAGGTTAGTACAAAAAAATACAGCTTCCACACATATCACCTATCTATATATAGTTCCTCCTATTATTATTATTTTTTTGACAGGCAGAGTGGACAGTGAGAGCGAGAGAGACAGAGAGAAAGGTCTTCCTTTGCCGTTCGTTCACCCTCCAATGGCCACTGTGGCCGGCGCACTGTGGCCGGCGCAGCGCGCTGATCCGAAGGCAGGAGCCAGGTGCTTCTCCTGGTCTCCCATGGGGTGCAGGGCCCAAGCACTTGGGCCATCCTCCACTGTACTCCCTGGCCACAGCAGAGAGCTGGCCTGGAAGAGGGGCAACCGGGACAGAATCCGGGCCCCAACTGGGACTACAACCTGGTGTGCCGGTGCCGCTAGGCGGAAGATTAGGCTACCGAGCCGCGGCGCCGGCCAGTTCCTCCTATTATTAACGTGTTATGGTAGTTTGGCTAATTTGTAGCAATTAATGAAGCAATATTAATATGTTGTTATTATTAGCTTAAGCACTTGATTTACATTAGGGGCTACTCTGTATTCTATGTTTCATAGATTTTGGCAAATATATACTGTTGTATATTCATCACTACAGTTTTGTACAGAATAGTTTCACTGTCCCTAAAGATCACCTTCCTCATCACCAAACTCACTCTCCAACAAATCCCTGATGATCACTCATCCCTTTACTATCTTCATAGCTTTGTCTAGTCGTGAATGTCCGATCGCTGAAATCACAGTGCACAGTCTTCAGAATAGCTTCTTCACTTTGCAACAGTATGTATGTAAGGTTTCTCCTTATCTTTTCATGGCCTGATTGCTCATTTCTTTTTATTACTCAGTAATATCCCTCTCACCTATTGAAAGACATCTTAGATGCTTTCTGGTTTTAATCATTATGGCTGAAGCTGCTGTAAGTCTTTGCGTGCAGTTTCTTGGCATGGGCAAGAAATCACCTAGGGATGTAGTTATTAGATCACATGACAGATCTATGTTTTGCTTTGAAAAAAACTGTTAACCTGTTTTCCAAAGTGATTCTGCCATTTTGCATACTCACCAGCAATGAATGAAAATCACTGTTACTATACATACTCAGATTTATTTGATGTTGCCATATTTGAGATTTTAAAAGTTGTAACAGGTAGACTACATAATTGCTGGCAATATCGGTTTTCATGAGCTGTCAACGCCTACTAGGCTTAGAGAAAAATCAGCAAGCCACACATCCACTAGAAACATGATGATGCAGATGAATTACATTTATGTGATACCAACTCTAAAACAGTCCAGCTTGAATCAGGCCTGTGAGGGCAATAAATATGAGAACTGTTTGTTAATTTGTTTGAAATTGTCTACATCACCCAGGGTTTGCTGAATTGACTGAACAATTTGTGTTCAATAAATGAACATATATAAAACCTTAAATTTGACACAATTTCAAGGTTAGTTATAGATTCCAAGAGAATTCTCAATAATTCTTTCAAGTAAGAAAAATATGTTATATGTACTCTGGGTTTAAAATTAAAATGCTCTGTTAGCTTATAATCTATCTCAAATAGCAATTATCATTTAGTATCCTTTGAAAATAAGGATAAGATTTTGCTTCAAATTCTTTTTGGTCCAATGTATTTGTAGCTTTCTATTATATTAAGCTACAAATTAACAAGAAATCATCACGGGGTCATTGCTTGAGCTTGAGCATTTTTATTCCCAAGTATCAAAGACAAATTGCTGTATGGAAAGACTTTCAAGAATAATGCATGATTTCTTTCTCTTTTCTGATTGTGAGATTGGTGCTGAAATGATGAAATTAAGCTTATTGATCACATTATCTTCTCTGAATTAGAAACAGAATATTGGAAAATATCTTCATAATAATAATAATTTCATTAAATCTTCAAAGTAAAGTTACAGTTGGGGATAAAATACTTTTTAACTCCCTCCTGCCTCAAGTCTTGTGCTACCCATTATATATTATATTTTTAAAATTTGGTAAATTAATCTCAAAGAATATTCTCTATACTATAGTTTCTTTTTTTTTTTTACCTTCATAATTTTTTTTTATTTTTTTATTTTTTTTAAACTTTTATTTAATGCATATAATTTTCCAAAGTACGACTTATGGATTACAATGGCTTCCCCCCCATACCGTCCCTCCCACCCACAACCCTCCCCTTTCCCACTCCCTCTCCCCTTCCATTCACATCAAGATTCATTTTCGATTATCTTAATATACAGAAGATCAGCTTAGTATACATTAAGTATGGATTTCAACAGTTTGCTCCCACACAGAAACATAAAGTGAAAAATAATAGATGATTTTTTTTAAATGATGATGAAATCAGAGCAGACCTATTGTCATGTTTAATCCCAGTGAGAGTCAAGTTGGGAATTGATAATTTTTTTTTTTTTTTTACAGAGGATCAGTTTAGTATGCATTAAGTAAGGATTTCAACAGTTTGCACCCCCATAGAAACACAAAGTGAAATATATTGTTTTGAGTACTCGTTATAGCATTAAATCTCAATGTACAGCACATTAAGGATAGAGATCCTACATGAGGAGTAAGTGCACAGTGACTCCTGTTGTTGACTTTACCAATTGACACTCCTGTCTATGGCATCAGTAATCTCCCTATGCTCCAGTCATGAGTTCCCAAGGCTATGGAAGCCCTCTGAGTTCTCCGACTCTTATCTTGTTTAGACAAGGTCATAGTCAAAGTGGAGGTTCTCTCCTCCCTTCAGAGAAAGGTACCTCCTTCTTTGAAGACCTGTTCTTTCCACTGGGATCTCACTCGCAGAGATCTTTTGCCAGAGTGTCTTGGCTTTCCATGCCTGAAATACTCTCATGAGCTTTTCAGCCAGCTCCGAATGCCTTTAGGGCTGATTCTGAGGCCAGAGTGCTATTTAGGACATCTGCCATTCTATGAGTCTGCTGAGTATCTCACTTCCCATGTTGGATCACTCTCCCCTTTATTTACTCCATCAGTTAGCGTTAGCAGGTACTAGACTTGTCTATGTGCTCCCTTTGACTCCCAGTCCCTTCACCATGACCAACTGTGAACTGAAACTGATCACCTGGAACAGTGAGATGGCATTGGTACATGCCACCTCGATGGGATTGAATTGGAATCCCCTGGTATGCTTCCAACTCCACCACTTGGGGCAAGTCAGCCTGAGCATGTCCCAAATTATACATCTCTTCCCTCTCCCATTCCCACCACCATGTTCAACAGGGATCACATTTCAGTTAATTTTCAACACTTAAGAATAACTGTGCATCAATTACAGATCTAAACCAGTCATATTAAGTAGAACAGATAAAAAAACTACTAAGAGGGATAATGTATTAAGTTGTTCATTAACAGTCAGGGCTATACTGATCAAGCCACCATTTCCCATAGTGTCCACCTCACTCCAACAGGTTTCCCTCTTGGTGTTCAGTCAGTCGTCACTGATCAGGGAGAACATATGGTATTTGTCCCTTTGGGACTGGCTTATTTCACTCAGCATGATGTGTTCCAGATTCCTCCATTTTGTTGCAAATGACTGGATTTCGTTGTTTCTTACTGCGGTATAGTATTCTAAAGAGTACATATCCCATAATTTCTTTATCCAGTCTATCGTTGATGGGCATTTAGGTTGGTTCCAGGTCTTAGCTATTGTGAATTGAGCTGCAATAAACATTAGGGTGCAGACCTCTTTTTTATTTGCCAATTTAAATTCCTTTGGGTAAATTCCAAGGAGTGGGATGGCTGGGTCGAACGGTAGGGTTATATTCAGGTTTCTGAGGAATCTCCAGACTGACTTCCATAGTGGCTTGACCAGTTTGCATTCCCCCCAACAGTGGGTTAGTGTCCCTTTTTCCCCACATCCTCGCCAGCATCTGTTGTTGGTAGATTTCTGCATGTGAGCCATTCTAACCGGGGTGAGGTGAAACCTCATTGTGGTTTTGATTTGCATTTCCCTGATTGCTAATGACCTTGAACATTTTTTCATGTGCCTGTTGGCCATTTGGATTTCCTCTTTTGAAAAATGTCTATTGAGGTCCTTGGCCCATCTCTTAAGTGGGTTGTTGGTTTTGTTTTTGTGGAGTTTCTTGATCTCTTTGTAGATTCTGGTTATTAACCCTTTATCTGTTGCATAGTTTGCAAATATTTTTTCCCATTCTGTCGGTTGTCTCTTCACTCTCCTGACTGTTTCTTTTGCAGTACACAAACTTCTCTATTTGATGAAATCCCAATAGTTGATTTTGGCTTTGACTGCCTGTGCCTCCCGGGTCTTTTCCAGAAATTCTTTGCCTGTGCCAATATCTTGAAGGGTTTCTCCAATGTTCTCTAGTAACTTGATTGTGTCAGGTTGTAGATTTAGGTCTTTAATCCATGTTGAGTGGATTTTTGTGTAAGGTGTAAGGTAGGGGTCTTGCTTCATGATTCTGCACG